CCACCCCTTCCGTAAACTAAGGCTACTCATGGCACCCACATGGCATCATAGGAGAGGGAACTTTTCTGCCCAAATGCCTCATCCTGTGCCCTCAGGGGCAAGTTAGGTTTTGATTTCTCTGTTCTGACAAAGGTCCTCCCTGGACTGACCTGGGTCAGTGAGGTCCCAGGAGGTGGGGTCACTCTGGGCAGCACGGTACAGCCAGGCAGGAGGCGAGAGCACTGGTGGGAGGACAGGTGCTCCTACCTGAGGAGGGTCCGGGCACAGGACACGGACCCCACACAGGACAGGCCCCGGGTGCTCACCCTTGACTCTCCCGCGGCCGCCAGTGCATGGCATGGCCGGGCCCAGTGCAGGGACCTGTGGGGCTGAGCCAGGAGGGAGACTCTGCCCTGAGAGGAAGGGCAGGGGGGGACCAACGTGAGCTGAGCTCTCCTTAGGAGCCACCCTGTAGGGAAAGAACTGGACTCGGAGCCTTTGTCCGCCCATCACACAGAGGAGAACAGAGAGGCTCCCAGCAGGGCTGGGCCAGGATGGCCTGGGAGCAGAGGATGCAGGGTGTGCCCGCCTCAGGAAGGGGCACCGCTTGTCCTCTCCACCCCCAGCCGCGAGGAGCCGGGGGACTTTGTGTTCCAGGCTCAAGTGTGACCTGAGCCCCAGCTGGTAGAGTTTGTCCCCGAGGGGATGCCCCTCTGTCCCACTGACTGTCCATCTGGCTCCTCTCAGACCACCCTGTGCCGGCCCCACGCTCCCTCCCAGGGGACGTGCCCAGAGCAGGGAGGGCGGGGCCAGCTACACAGAGTCCTACCCTGGCCGCCCCCACTGAGAACCAGGCTGCTCCCTTTCAGGCCGGCTCCTCTCATCCTATAAACATTATTGACTTTTTCTTGACCTGCAGGAATTCCTGTGACCACGGCCCTCCCGTGAAGGGACCCACAAAAGACAAAGCCCTTTGCAGGTGTTTATTGAATGATTTGGACTTCATGACACACAGAGGAAAAGACATTTTATGGAGATTCTTAATCTTTCATTTTATTGCTTTAGTTTTAAAATCAATAAGAAATAATCATTTCCCTAAAAGTAAAAAATGACTCTGATAGTAATGAAGAGAATGTTACTGGTGTGTATTTGGAACATATCATTGATTTTTAAATGAAAAGTAAATCAATCAGATTTTTAAAAATTCCTTCTGAGCCCATTCGTTGCCTTTTGCTGGGGATGGCGGCACGAGATGCGCTTTCATTTCTTGAAGAAAGTGTTTTATGCGTCGTTCACCAGAAGACCCCCGACTGTTTAGAGAGGTTGAGTCCATCCTTCAGTTTCCTGGATTCTGGATGGAGAAGGAGGAGGTGGAGGAAGCACGGAGTGAGGCAGGTGGGAAGAGTCTTGGGCAGTCACAAAGGTGGGGGAGGAAAAGGGGCGCAGGACGGGAGAAAGCAGAGGGACTGTGAGACCTGAGGGGAGGGATGGAGCTGGGGCCCAGAGGAGAGACAGGCCCAGGGAGAGAATGGTCAAGGGGGAATCCTCAGCCAGAAATGCTCTTCAGCTTCTGACACTGGGCTCCTATGTGTACTTCCAGTTCATCCCTGGCCCTGAACGGCTGGCCCTGGTTGTCCACGAAGGTGTCCCAGCAGTGCTGGAGCTCTATGGGAACAGGGAGGGAAAGGTGAGCTCCTTCTAGAGCGGGGAGGGCCCAGGTGTCTGACTCTAGGGACACACCCTCCCCATCAGGATCTCCCTGCCCCCTTTCTCTCTCCTCCCAAGGCACTGAGCTCCTCCCTCAAATTCTTTCTTCCACTGGAATCTGAGGCAGCCCCCCCCACCTTCTACCAGGAAGGACCTGGGTCCTGATGGCACAGGGACCCACCTCCCCGCTTCCCAGGACCCCCTCTCCCCTGAACTCTCTCCTCCAGGGGACTCCATCCTCTCCAGACTAAGCAGCCCCCTGCAGGCAGCTGAAAGGGGTCCCCCACCTGGATTCTCCTCCTGCCCCCTCTGTGTGGCCATTTCCCAGCCTCTCTGCCCGCCCACCTCCCACCCTCAGGAGTCCCTGCTGACCATGGAGGGTCATGATGGCGAGTTGGGCCCCAGCGTCCCGCAGCTGGCGCAGCCCATCCTCATGTCCATGGAATCTGGTTCGGATGCCAGCAGCGAAGATGCGCAGGCTCACGTGGCTGTTCTCGCTCAGGAATTGAACCAGCTCCAGAGCACAGTCAGGGCTGGGGGTCCAGGACATGTAGCAGGTGAGTCTGTACTGCTTCCCCCCATCCAGGTGCCAAGAACGGACCCGATCCAGGAAGCACAACTCTGCATGACCAGGTTCCCTGTGTGTGTCAGCACCCTGAGCACAGAGCGGGGAGAAGAGGGATCTGTCACTTGCTGTGAACAGGGGAGGGGGGCACCAGCCAGAGGCAGGTGAGGCTCTGGCCTCCAGCACAGGATTGAAGGGGCACAGCTCAGCGTCAGGATGAACGCTATCTCATTGCAGGATCTACCCCAGTGATGGCGAACATATAACAAGCTTGTCAGAGGTAAGACACCAACTCATTTTTTTTGTATATTTTTCTTTGTTAAATGACATTTAAATATATAAAATAAATATCAAAAAATATAAATCTTTGTTTTACTATGATTGCAAATCTCAAAAAATTTCTATATGTGACACGGCACCAGAGTTAAGTTAGGGTTTTTCAAAATGCTGACAGGCCGAGCTCAAAAGGTTCACCATCACTATTCTACAGGGTCAAAGGTAAGGTGACTCACAAATCACATGATATCAGCATCTACAAAGGGCACATCAGCAGTCAGGACTTTTCTACATCAGCAAACCATGGCTCCCATGGCTCTGTAACTGATCAGTGTTCACTTAGCCTGTTGATATTCCATTCACCATAGAATTTGCATTAGTTTTGAATTTTTAAAGTTTTGCATTAAATATGGTTATTTTTTCAAATCCTCACCTGGGGAGATTTTTTCCATTCATCTTTAGAGAAAGGGTGGAGGGAGGGAGTAGGGGCAGAGGGAGAGAAACATCAATGTGGGAGGACACATCCACTGGTTGCCTACCCCACACTCCACGACCCGGGGCCCGGGATCAAAGCTGCAACTGAGATAAGTGCCCTTGACCTGGAATCCTACCCCTGGCCCCTGACTGTGCAGGCTGACGCTCTAACCACTGAGAACACAGATCTGGGCTCCATATGATTTATCTTGGTACAGAGTTCCCAGAGAGCCTGTATTTCTTGCCCAACGCCTATGCCTTCAGGAGCTGCACCTACTCAGACCCTGCAGGGAGACAAAGAGCTGAGGACAGCCCAGCCGGTGTGGCTCAGTGGATTGAGCAGCGACTCAGCCACAAACAGGTCACTGGTTCCATTCCTGGTGAGGGCCCAGGCCCAGGCCCAGGTTGCAGGCTTGATTCTCAGTAGGAGGTGTGCAGGAGGCAGCCAACCAATGGTTCTCTCTCATCATTGATATTTCTATCTCTCTCTCCCTTCTTCTCTGGAATCAATAAAATTCTTTTAAATAATTAAATAAGTAAGTAAATAAATATAAATAAATAAATATAAATAAATAAATAGCTGAGAACAGAGGGAGGAGGCAGCTGAGCCCCAAGGTCCTGGGCCTGATGCCACAGGGGTGGGCGCTCCCTCCAGGAAGGGGAGCTCTCCCTCTGCTCCCCTACCTCCAGCTCCCGCCTGTGCACCAGCACCTCCACACGCTTCCACTCCGGGCTCCCCCCTGTGCTGCGCCCAAGGGTGACACAACTCTGCGGGAAGAAGGGGTGAGGGCACCGAGGCAGAGGTGCGGGAGACACGGGATGAGGGTCGCTGCTGGGCTCACAGGGTTATGGAGATTAGCCCACGCACCCAGGGAAGGGTTTTCAACCAGGGGCTCAGGGAGGAGGAAGAAGTCAGGCCCACGGTGCTTGCGCAGAGCCCTGTTGGCAGAGGATGGTACCAGGACCTGGGCTACGTGCAGCTGGCAGTGCACTTGTGGGGACAGCACCCTGCCAGGCTCTCCCAGGAGTGACTGGAGGGAGCACCAAGGGGGAGCTCTGGCTCTCTGGCCACAGGCGGCCCGGGCGGGGCCAGGGGAGAACGGCCCCTTTGTCCAGGTGCCTTTCCCTCTGCCCTGACCCCTCCTCAGAGGCACAGCAGGAGGGACAGGCTGACCCTGGAGGCTGGGCTGACCCTGGGCTGGTGGGCCCAGGCCCTGGGACACTGTGACTGCTTTCTGATGTGGGGCTCCAAGCTGCCAATCACAGCAGTCTGTCCTCCCTTCCTCTGGGCAACGCCACAGCAGCTGGGGGCCAAGGGACATTGCTCAGAGGACACCTGTGGGCATGGAACCTTCTCCCTGAGTGTCCTGGGGGCCCTGCCTGCTGTGCTCGCTCACCTGGTTGCACAGGAAGCCCTGGAGCTCCTTTCCTGGGACCCAGGCGTCGCCCTCCCGGACCTCCACCTCGTAGCACAGGTATGTTTTTTTCTCCCAGTCGTGACCAAAGTTGACCTCAAAGGTGGTTCCATCTATCAGGGTTCTGTGGGCACAGGCAGGAGGAACCCAAGGCATGGGGCTCCTCTGGGGATCACCCTGTTCTCCTCTCCTCTGCACCCACATCCCAGCTAGACCCACAGAGGATGGGCGTCCACTCACTTAGCTGGGCCTCCTAACCTCCCTCTCTGACCCCTTCGGGGACTCCTGGGGGAGTCAGCTCCGTCATTTTGTCAGGGTCCCCCCGGGAGCAGTGCAGGGGCTCAGAGCTCTGACGGGGCCTCTCCTGGCAGCACCGTCCTGCCCTCGTCCCGCTGACCCAGCCCTGCCAGGTGCAGCCCAGTGGCGCTGTTTCCTCTGCTCTTCTGGGTTAACCTGAGCCACATGGTGCATCAGGGGAAAGGGTGGCCCCATCCGGGAAAAGAGATGCCAAACTAGTCTTCTCAAATAACTCATGACATTTCCCTTCTCATCATGAAAACAATCGTGTCCTTTACAAAAACCAAAACATAAATCTGAACATGACCACCTGGGGCAGTGATGGCGAACCTTTTGAGCTCGGCGTGTCAGCATTTTGAAAAACCCTAACTTAACTCTGGTGCCGTGTCACAGATAGAAATTTTTTGATATTTGCAACCATAGTAAAACAAAGACTTATATTTTTGATATTTATTTTATATATTTAAATGCCATTTAACAAAGAAAAATCAGTGCAGAGCAGAAAGATGACAAGCAGGAATCTCCTAGGTTCTCCAGACACACCCACAGGCCCCCGTCTGAGTGGCAGGAAGCAGAGGACGTCCCCACTCCCAGGCTGGTTTGCCAGAACCTCAGCATCGAATCAGCTCCTCATCATCAAAACAGAGGACACGTTGTTGCATGTTTCTTTGTAATATCTGTTATTGATGCCAGTTGGGGCTGGGGTGTCCTCCATGACTCAGCTCCTTCTCCTTCTAGGAAAGTTATCTTCCGCGCCTCCGATTTGCTGATTAAAGGACTGAGTTGCCTTATATGCCATCGAGAAACCGGGAAAGGGCTGAGTTGGCCTCCCGACCCCCACCCCTTCCCTAAACTCAGCTACTCATGCAACCAATGGAGGAGAGAGAAGAGGGAAGATTTTTGTGCACTCTCTCATCCTGCGAGCTCAGGGTAAGTTATGTTTTT